ACACTTTGTTTTTTGATTGTCTGTTAATTCTAATTATTTTTTTCATGTTTTCATTTGTCATTTCATTTTAATAAAAGTCATTATTATTATTATAACTATTGGACACATTTATTTAATTTTAATTATTGATTTGAATATAAAATAAAAGAAAATTATATTTAAATTTTAAGAATAATAGAGAATTTTCATCATAAACTCAAGTAAGTTATTGTAGTTATCAGAGTTTTAAATAAATAATCGTTTATAAGTTATAAGTTTAATAAAGTTTCAAAATATTAAACGTCTAGAAATCTCCCTTCCATTTGAAATAGTTTCTATATTTACTAATATTTCTGAATATCTTATAAACATATTTTATTATAAAGAATCCATAGTTCATCAATTCAATTTGGTTATTAATTTTGTTATTACAAATTATTCGGATTTAAAATTGTTATAATTTTTTGTTGATAATATCCATAGAAATGTGAATGGTACTTGTTAAGTACTACTTAACATTTAGTTTATCAATGCTAAATGAAGGACATCATTTTTATAATTTGTACCAATAATTAACGAAATAATGAGAAATTTATTTAAAATCAAATATAATTTACTATTAAAATGCAATTTAATATCAAAATATTCGCAAATGTGTGGAATTCATAGTTTTAGGAAATCTTCGGATCAATTGAAACCAGAATCGACTGACAATTATGTGGACTTTGCTGTGTTTGGCGGAGGAATAATGGGCTCTTCGGTCGCCTATTGGCTCAATCAAAGACAACCGAATCAATTCACTTGTAATGTATTTGAGAGGGATTTGTCGGTAAGTAATTATAATGAAAGTTATTAAAACATTTGGCAATTTATGACAGTATAATGTGAATAAAATATTGTGTAATGAATTGAAAGTATAGCTCGTGTTCGACCACTCGATCAGCCGGTGGTATTCGACAGCAGTTTTCAAATGAAGAGAATATTCTGTTATCACTCCATAGTTCAAAGTTTCTTCAAAATATTGGTCAATATTTAACAATTCCTAACCAAAGTTCTCCAGATGTTTGTCTCAATCTTAACGGATATTTACTTTTGGCCACCGATTCCGGAGCCGAACAACTCATTGTAAACCATAAACTTCAGACCCAATTGGGCGCTCAGATCGAGCTCTTGTCCCCAAACAAAGTGAAAGCTATGTTTCCGTGGGTTAACACCACAGACATAGCTTTGGCCGCATATGGTGTGGCCAATGAGGGCTGGTTTGATCCCTGGGCTCTACTCATGGCGTTTAAAGCAAAAGCCCAGTCCTTAGGAGTTAATTATATTAAATCAGAGATAATAGGGTTTAATATTAAAAATA